ATCCCACATTAAAAATGTTTGGAAAGAGGACCTCTTGAGCTTCTCAATATAAGAGGAGCAATGCATATAATTCCTCCTCTTACAAACATATAATTTCTTGCCCATCAATATGGACAAATATTGAAAAGTCCAAAGACTTTTTTTTTTTTTAGTCCTATTGACCCGACAAATTATGTTGTGGAACTGTGTCCAGCTTGCAAGGTAGACACGGTTCAAAAATAGTTCATAATTATGAATATATAGTTCAAAAATTATGAACATATAGTTCTATAATTAAGAACTTAGTGTTGTCAACATAATTATAAACGTATAGTTATGTAATTATGAATATAGAGATTAAATAATTGCGAATATGAAGTTAAAAAATTATTATGAATATATATCTTTATAATTATGAACATATAATTTAGTAACTATGAGCATATAGTTCTGCAATTATGAATATAGACTTCAATAATTATAAATAAGAAGTTCAAAAATTATGAATTTATAGCTTTATAATAATGAACATATAGTTCAGTAATTATGAACATAGAACTGTGTCCACCTTGCAAGGTGGACACAGTTACACCGCATAACTATTCGACGCAAATTATGTTGTGCAACCGAATGCACCTTGCAAGGTGCATACGGTTGCAAAACATCGCCGTTTTGGTTAAAAAAACGCGCGTCCCACTTAAAGAAGAAATCAGGTTCGATTCCTGGCAATAGCATTTTTATATATCCAGAAATTCATAACTATATATCCATAAATTCATAACTATATATCCACAGTGAATAAATGAACTAAATATCCACAATGAATGAACTAAATATCCATAAATTCATAACTATATATCCACAAATTTATAACTATATATCCAGAAATTCATAACTATATATCCACAATAATGCTATTGCCGAGAATCGAACCTGAATTTTTTTTTTATTAAAGTGGGACGCACGTTTTTAGTCAAAACGACGTCGTTTTGCATCGTATGCACCATGCGCATGGTACATTCAGTTGCACAGCATAACTATTGACTATTCGATTGACCCTATTACATGTAAACTTTCTCAACCTATTGAAGCCCAACGTGTCAAAAGGTTCTTATTTAAGAAACCTTATTTTAATGGCTTCTTATTTTAGTTTTTTTTTTTTTTAAAAAAAAAAATTTAATTTATTAGGGGGTTTGAGAAAGATTAACCCAAAATGCATATGAGTTGTTTTAGTTTTTAGCAGTTTGGAGCAAATTGCTAAGTTATTAAATACTATTTTTAGTGTTTTGATTAAATATAAAAGGTTAAACAGCTGAATTTCTTAAAATTTTGACAAATTTGCCAAATAATCAAATTACAACAACAACAACAGTAGTAGTAGTAGTAGTAATAATAATAATAATAATAATAATAATAATAATAATAATAATAATAATAATAATAATAATAATAATAATAATAATAATATTAATAATAATATTAATATTAATATTAATATTAATCCAAACAAAACTATATACAAAATAAAATTAAAATTAACAAAAAAAAAAAAAAAAAAAAAAAAAGAAGACAAAGGGGAGTCACGGGCTCCCTTTGTAAATGATTTGGGATCATTTTGATCCCACATTGGAGATGTTTGAAAAGATGCGCTTTTGAGCTCCTCTATATAAGAGGTACATACATAATTTTTTGCCCATCAATATAGCAAGTATTATGAAGTCAAAAGGTTCTTAATTATTTAAGAAACATTAGTTTTGTCTTCTTATTTTAGTTATTTATTTATTTATTATTTATTATTAGTGGGGGTTGTGAAAGATTAATCCAAAATGTATGCGTTGTTTTAGTTTTTTCTTTGCAGTTTGGAGCAACTTACTGAGTTATTAAATAATATTTTATGATGTGGAATCATTTTGATCTCACATTGAAAATGTTTGGAAATGTAAGCTCAGCTCCTCTGAGGAGCAATGCCCCTCTTACAAAGAAGTCCAAAGTGTTTTTTTTTTTTTTTTTTTTTTTTTTTTGAGAAGTAAAGGGAATGTTTCAATAATAATATTTTACATCATCAAATAGTAAATGCATATTTTAAAAAATAGTAAAGGTAAATTAAAAATGAAACGAAAATATTTCAATAATAATATTCTACATCATCAAATTAAAATGGAACGGAAATTATGTAAAAATATCACTGTATCTATATTTTAATTGACTAATAATTGACTGAAAATAAAAAAGAATAATTGACTACACATTAGCTATTAATTTGAGCAATTATTTGCACAAAATCAAGCAATAATAATATCAAAATATATAAACGATCCAAATGATATCTTTAATTGCATTATATAATATTTAATGTTCTAATTTAAATAATTATATATCAATTCATATATTCTTAATATATTACAACAAATTCATTCCGTGCATCGCACGGGCGCAAATACTAGTTATTCACAATATCATATCATTAGTGCTACCAACCCGCCCTTTTCCTCCTTAGCTTAATTTATTGTCTATCCATAATTTGCCACAACACTTCTTTCCTAATTTAGCTGCTACATACTTCAAATCATCCCATCCTACTTTAATTTCATTCTAACCCACTCCACTAAATAAATTATCACACTCCAATCCAATCTCATCGTTCCTTTAATTTGTTTAATTTCTTTATCGTCTCATCTACTTTTACTTTACCGTTTATATATATGAGAATTGAACTAGCTAATTATATTTGTTATAAGCTAGACTTTCTTAACCCAAACAATACTCCATTTATCTCATTGCTATATATAAATATACTCTATTATTGTATTATCAAATTCGCAATTTACTTACTCTGTTTTCCTGCTATCAACGTACAAACTTAATTCACTTTTAAAATATAATAATATCACAATAATAATAACAATAAATTTTATTAAAATATTTTGAACCCACTCTACCACAATTGGTGGTGCAATAGCTGGCAGAGTGAGCTTAAATTCTGTCAAGTTTACAAACTTGCATTTGTTACAAGCTAAGCTTATAGGTTACCTGATAGTATCAAAAGTTTATATATACAGATCAAAGTAATATTATTTCATTTTATTTATTTGGTGGAGTAATAAATATTTTATATTGATATTGATATGCTATTTTATATTGTATGTGTTAACATCACATGTGCTATTTAAAGACTGATTTAATATAATTGGAAAGCAAGCTGCAATATATATAGTCGTTTTTCATCGTATGTTGTATGTGGTACCAATAATTATGTACGTACTAGTCTAGTCTAGTATACATACAGCTGGCTTTACTTATTTCTATGTGTAGATATGTATATAGAGTAACAAGTTATTCTAAATCTAGTACGTAGTATAAAATTTAGACCACTTTGTATTTTTTACTAATTCTACAAGTTATTAAGTCTCACCATTACCTCTCGCGTCACTTCATTTTCTCACTATCTTCAAAGTTACGGACATTTTGTAAGTTGTTTTTTTTTTTTTTTTTTAAATATTTATAAGTGATATTATACGTTGAATGATCATATTAAAATATTATATCAATCAACGTGTTTATTTTGATGATAAATGATAAATGTTGCGTATCAAAATGCTCATAGTGAGTGAAGCATAAAGATGAAATTGCCTAAATGATGAAATTACCAAAGTTCGAAATATTTACGAAAATATCACCGTGTCGTTTTTCTTTAAAATTACATCTGATTCGTTGATCTAGACACGTGGACGACGCTGAATGATTCTTTTTTCTCTCCTGAACGACCGTTCGCATGAGAGCGTGTTAATATATATATAATTTTTTTAATGCTACTGACTCTATTACATTGTAACGCCTCTACTAAGGCTCGATCTCTCGATCTTTCGATCTCATGACCACCCACACGGAAGAGGTCACAACATGTCATCTGAGCTTGTGCTCAACAAATATTTATGTTGATGGATTATATGAACCCAGGGGTCCGGATTATACAACCCGAATATATGATTGAATATGACGAACGAATAATGAAATGATAAATATCGTATTAATTGGGTGTATAACGCTATTACAGAGGTTCGGGACGTGTAATAATGAGACAAATGTTGTAAGAAAGTAGATGATGCTTGAATAGGACACCGGGGGTGTTTTTATACCCCGGCCGGACCGAGCCCGGGTCACGCGGGAGGAGCCGCGGGACTTGCTCCACGCGAGGACCCGGTCCTTGGCCGAGCATGGAGATCGGCCAAGGTGCCCGCCCTGGGCTCGGCCGAGTCTGTGGAGGTCGGCTCGACGGCGAGCCGACCTCACGCTAGGCCAACCCCGGGTGTGCCAGCCGACCCTGGGCGCGTAGGCCGACTCCGTGGTGGTCGGCCTACGTAGGCCGACCCTGGGGTGCCGAACCCATGTTGGCCTACCCCGGGGTGCCAAGCCCATGCTGGCCGATCCCGGGGTGGTTCATCACTCCATGTGCACAGTAACCGGGGATCCCGTAATAGTAGCCGAGGACCCGTGGTAGTAGTCGAGGACCCCGGGGAGATAGACCCCTCCATAGTCTGACCGGTCGCATGCGTAATCCCCCAAGTGCTGGGTGTGATCCGCTCCATATTGCTTTGCTCCGTAATTATTCCATCATATGTATTTAGTTAAGTTAATATATGGAAAGATATAAAACTCAAATGAAATATAATAATAAGTGAATAACCAAAATGATATTGGAAAAAAAAAAAAAAAAAGTATTTTGGGCAACAAAACAGGCGACTTCTATAGCAGCAGCGGCACTGCAGCTGCAACTGCATGCCAGCTAAATTACAGTGAAGCCTCTTAGCTTGTAATGAGTGTAAAGCAATTCCAAATATTTAATATTCATTTCCGAGCTTCCGGATTTCTTTTAATATAATAATTATGACCATGGAGTTATCATGGTAATAATATTTATTTTTTGGAAAGATCATTGTAATAATATTTATTTCTTGACTTGTTTGTTATATATGGTGTAATTCTTTTTGAATATTTATTGATTACTATTGCCCCCAGTTTTCTCCGCGTTGGGCTCTGCCTCTGGCCCTCTGGGTATCTTCTGATGGGGTTTACATTCAGTTCCTAACCCCAAACACTTGTTTTGCACGAAAAAGTTGGCTCCTTTGGAAGCCCCCAACACTGAAAGATTGAATCTTCAAGTTGGATTTTGAGTAAATTTCATTTTTTGTGATTTAATCGTGGCTATGAATACCGGAGGGAGACTTATTGCTGGTTCTCACAATAGGAATGAGTTTGTGCTCATCAATGCTGATGAAATTGGAAGAGTAAGTATCTGTAAAGCCCCTCATTTTGGTTCCGATTTTACTTCTTCAGATACCCAGCTGCCCATTTTGATGGACTAATCATTCATTGCCATTGGTTATACTTATAGAATAATCCTTGTTTTGTTCCAGATAAAGTCTGTGAGAGAATTAAGTGGCCAAATATGCCAAATTTGTGGGGACGAAATAGAGATTACTATAGATGGAGAACTGTTTGTTGCCTGCAACGAATGTGCTTTCCCTGTTTGCAGACCCTGCTATGAGTATGAGAGAAGAGAGGGAAATCAGGCATGCCCTCAGTGCAAAACTAGATACAAACGCATCAAAGGTTAGTATTGTCCTTCTATGCTTATGTAAATATTCCATTTGAATGAGTTTGAAGTTCATATCTTGTTTGATTGGCAGGTTGTCCTCGGGTTGAAGGTGATGAGGAAGAAGATGACATTGATGACTTAGAACATGAGTTTGATTACAGTGATATTGATGCTACAGCACCAAATGTAGCTGAAAGAACAATTCCTGCTTCCCATGGCCATCATGCTTATCATGCAAGTTCATCTGGGAACAACACATCAACCCCTGGATTGGAAATACCACTCTTGAAATATAGAGAAGAGGTAATTATTTGCAATGTTTAGATCATATCTTCATGCTTCCTTATTTCGTAATTCCTAGAGAACCATGAGAATAGTCAATTTGGCATGACTTTAATTCACTGACTCTTTTGCCTGCCTGGTCCAGGATGCTCAAATCTCTGATGATCAGCATGCTCTTATAGTACCTTCATCACCTAGTATTGTGAATGGGGACTCATCCACATCTTGTAAGTTATTTGGGTTTATCAGATTTTACTTCTCTATACTTTTTTCATTTATTTAACCAGTAAATCTTTATTTTCTCAGTGCATTGTAGACCAATGGTTCCAGAGAAGGACATTGCATTATATGGCTATGGAAGTGTGGCATGGAAGGAACACATGGAGGAGTGGAAGAAAAAGCAAGGTGACGAGCTTCAGGTGGTCAAGCATCAAGTCAATAGTGATAATGAACTCGAAGACCCTGATTTTCCTATGTAAGTAACTTCTACAAATTTGAACTGCATTAATGACTTACTGTCCAGCCTCTTTGCCTTGATTGTTAATCAAATGGATGAATTTGTTGACTGATGTTTTGAATTCTCAGGATGGATGAAGGGAGGCAGCCACTTTCAAGAAAGTTGCCCATTGCTTCTAGCAAAATAAATCCTTACAGGATTCTCATCATTCTGCGCCTTGTCATTCTTGGCTTCTTTTTCCATTATAGGATTCTTCATCCAGTTGCTGATGCATATGGTTTGTGGTTGACATCAGTTATTTGTGAGATATGGTTTGCAATATCATGGATTCTAGATCAGTTCCCAAAATGGTGTCCACTAGTGCGAGAGACCTATCTTGATCGATTATCACTTAGGTGAACAACTATCCACCATCAAACGTTTTTGGTTACATTGATTTTACATTTCTTTTTTCTCTCTTTTATGCCTGAAAGTCTCAAGTAGTAAGATATTGCAAAAAGACTGATCTTTACCCCTATTTATTTATTTTCAATTTTCTTTTAGGTATGAGAAAGAAGGAACACCGTCGAATTTGGCTCCAATTGACATTTTTGTTAGCACAGTTGATCCCTTGAAAGAGCCTCCATTGATCACTGCAAATACTGTTTTATCTATTCTGGCAGTCGATTATCCAGTTGAAAAAGTTTCATGCTATGTCTCAGATGATGGTGCTGCCATGCTTACATTTGAATCACTCTCTGAGACATCTGAATTTGCTAGGAAATGGGTCCCCTTCTGCAAAAAATTCAACATTGAACCCCGGGCTCCAGAATGGTATTTTTCACAGAAAATTGATTATCTGAAAAACAAAGTTCATCCAGCTTTTGTAAGAGAGCGACGTGCAATGAAGGTTTGTGTAATCTCTTCTATTTTTCTTTCCCCTACGCTGAAAAAGTTTCTTACAGAGAAGATTACTGTTATGACTATTTGGGTGAAGTTCATTATTTTTGGTGTGTATGGCATTATTTATTGTATTAAATATTAATGCTATGCTGCATACAGAGGGAATATGAAGAATTTAAAGTTCGGATAAATGGTTTGGTTGCAATGGCCCAAAAAGTTCCAGATGAAGGTTGGACAATGCAGGATGGTACTCCTTGGCCAGGAAACAATGTCAGGGACCATCCTGGTATGATCCAGGTAAATTGTTAGGTGTATAAACAGTTTTCTAACTTAAATAAAACAAAATTCCCATGAACTTGAGCTTGTCCCATTTTCTTGTTTTACTTTAATGTAGGTATTCCTTGGTCAAGAAGGTGTTCGAGATATTGAAGGAAACGAATTGCCTCGCTTGGTCTATGTTTCTCGTGAAAAGAGACCTGGTTTCAATCATCATAAAAAAGCAGGGGCCATGAATGCTTTGGTAAAACTCTCTAAATCGAATTTGATGTGTGGTAGAATTTGGATAATCACGAAACATATTCATTAACATGGAGTGCTGATTAGTGGAATTTGAATTTAGGTGCGGGTTTCAGCTGTTATCTCAAATGCTCCTTTCCTTCTGAATGTTGACTGTGATCACTACATCAACAATAGCAAGGCATTGAGAGAAGCCATGTGTTTTATGATGGATCCCACTTCAGGAAAAAAAATCTGCTATGTGCAATTTCCACAAAGGTTCGATGGGATCGATCATCATGATAGATACTCGAACCGAAATGTTGTATTCTTTGATGTATGTATATCTTCCTGTCTGTTTAACTGCAGTATTGTTTTATTATCACCTTGGGCCAAAGCTGATTCTTGTTGTTAAACAGATTAACATGAAAGGTTTAGACGGGTTACAAGGGCCGATATATGTTGGTACTGGGTGTGTATTCAGAAGGGAAGCACTTTATGGAAATGATGCTCCTGCAAAGAAGAAGAAACCTAGCAGGACATGCAATTGCTGGTCAAAATTATGTTGCTGCGGACCTAGAAAGAGCAGTAAAGGAAAAACAAGAAAAGAGAGGAATAAGAAAACAAAACGCAGGGAGACATCAAAACAAATACATGCGCTTGAAACAATTGAAGAAGGAATAGAAGGTAATGTAAGAAATGTATTTTGACGTTCATGTTGTCCATTGCCTAAAAACAATATGATATTATGAATCACCATTACATGTAATATGAACTTACGACGATTAATAATTTAATATTCAACAGGTGCTGATTCATCTGAGGCTTTACAAATGGAGTTGGAAAAGAAGTTTGGGCAATCTCCTGTTTTTATTGCCTCAACACTTGTAGAAAATGTAGGTGTTCCCAAGGATGCTAGTAGCACAGCACTCCTAAAAGAGTCCATTCATGTGATCAGCTGTGGTTATGAAGATAAAAGTGAATGGGGAAAGGAGGTAAGTGATTGGTGTTTTGTTTGTATTTGTTGGGCAACATGCAACAACAATGCTGATGATTATTGAATGGTTTTATACAGGTCGGGTGGATTTATGGATCTGTTACAGAAGATATCTTGACAGGATTCAAGATGCATTGTCGTGGCTGGCGGTCTGTGTATTGCATGCCTAAACGTCCCGCGTTCAAGGGTTCTGCTCCTATAAATCTCTCAGACCGTCTCCACCAGGTTCTGAGATGGGCCCTTGGGTCTGTCGAGATTTTCTTGAGCAAACACTGCCCAATATGGTATGGATATGGAGGTGGTTTGAAGTGGTTGGAAAGGTTTTCCTACATAAACTCTGTTGTGTATCCCTTCACCTCCATTCCCTTGATCGTGTACTGTTCTTTGCCTGCTATCTGCCTACTCACTGGAAAATTTATTGTACCCGAGGTATGGTATTAATTTAATTAATATGATTCCCTAGAATTGAAGCATGTGCTCCATCTCAACTAAAACCTTAAGCTGATAGTTGGATTGCACATTAATGGTTATATGCTCAACACCTAGGAAAATCAATATTCTGGAAAGATTTGTATCTATCTGACATTAATTGTTTATTTACAGATAAGTAATTACGGCAGCATCATATTCATGGCTATGTTCATCTCTATTGCTGCGACTGGTATCGTTGAGATGCAATGGGGTGGTGTTGGAATAGACGACTGGTGGAGAAACGAGCAGTTCTGGGTGATTGGAGGAGCATCCTCTCATCTTTTTGCTCTTTTCCAAGGTTTGCTCAAGGTCTTAGCTGGTGTTGACACCAACTTTACAGTGACCTCAAAAGGAGGCGATGACGGTGAATTTTCTGAGCTCTATATTTTTAAGTGGACATCATTATTAATACCCCCAACAACCCTGCTGGTGATAAATATGGTTGGGGTTGTGGTTGGTGTGTCAGATGCCATCAACAATGGATATGATTCCTGGGGTCCATTATTTGGGAGATTGTTCTTTGCTTTCTGGGTCATTGTTCATCTATACCCATTCCTCAAAGGTTTGCTAGGAAAGCAAGACAGAATTCCAACCATAGTGCTCGTATGGTCAATCTTACTGGCTTCAGTACTCACCCTGCTTTGGGTAAGAATCAACCCGTTTGTTTCGAGAGATGGTCCTGTGCTACAAATCTGTGGATTGGACTGCGATCACCGATGACCCCATCATAAAACACAAAATCAAAATCCTTGTTGAAGTTGCTTGCTTCTCCTCTTCTCTTCTCTTCTTAGCCAGACATTAGTAGTAGTGTACTAGTATGCGGTGGGGTAGTTTTGCACAAAGAACAAAAAAATGTGTAGATATGTAGCAGTGGAATAGAAGTCAACACAACAGTTCAGATTTGTTTAAAGAAAGGTTTCATTTATTCTTTTGCTAAAGAGCAAGCAATGTTTTGTTTCTCTCTAATGAACCATTATGTATTTATTATTAGTGAAAGCATATGCTTGATGAAGATAGAGTTTATAAAATTAAATATATTACACTAGTTTTTAGATTTGTGATTCTAGAAATAATAAACCAACACTACACTACACTACTGCAAGCTCATGCTTAAAACTCAAAATATATAGGCTGGCAGGCTTATTATGATAGATAGATATTGCATTGCATACCCAAAGATTACATCACAACTTAACTTGCCGTAATAATTAGTCTAAGCTTATCAACCAACAATTGTGTTTCTATCAAATATCTGTAGCTGACAGTATGAAATTTTATGCGGTTGGCTGGTGGCTGCCACAATTTTTTTGATCATCTCCTCAACTGCTACTAAATTACAAATAGTCATACCAAAAAGGAAAAAAAAAAATACATTTTAACATCCAATCCAATCCAGTAACTATTTGGACAATACATTAACAATAGACGACGAGATTTAACTGATGATACCAAAACAGGGAAATCAAAATTACCGCTCCCAACCCTCACTCTATCATTGCTTGTTCAAGCTGCACCTTTGAACTTGGCATCATACTCGTATGGTTGCTGCAAATTTATCAACAATGTTCATCACTTCATTCGCTCATAATCATGGAAATCATAATTATAATAAAAGGAAAGATTTACAACATATTACCAAAAAGATGGCTGAAACTGATCTGCGCGCAAACCATCTTTTATGCATTGCTTGTTGAGCACGAGATGCAGACTCCACGCTATCAAATCGCAGATAAACATATCCAGCACTATTCCTGCAAGGTGGGGTAATTAAATATGCTTTGCTTAGATCCCCTACAATACATAAAACTATTGGATTCGCATCCTACAAATATACACTGTTTCTATACAAATACAAAATAAAATAAATGTTAAACACATTTATTCAGCATCCTTCAAAGTGACAACAAAATACTAACCTAAACACATATAATAAATCACACATTCATTACAGTAGGAAGAAGCTTCATCAATGATCAAATCAGCATGTACTTACTTGTCCACGTGAATATGTTTGACAGCACCATACTTGGAACATTCTTCATGTACATCATCTCTAATGTCTAAATCAAACTCTGGATCAGTCTGCAAAAAAGCCCAAAATCATGTTTGAGTTCAAAAGAATAATAGGTTATTTTCACTCTATTTCACCCAAGATTTTTAACCAAATACATAACAAGTCACACAACAATGTACATCTTGAACAGTTACTGAAGAAGTTGGCAAAGTTCCAACCAAATATTTGATAATGTTCATTTCAATATGTTGATTACAGGATTTGGGTCCAATCAAGTAGACATGGAAGTAATACACCCTTCCCTCTTGCGTGACCCCACCCAATTGAAAGAACTAAGTGATTGGTGTATAAATGAAAAGTTGCAAACCTCCATAGCTGGATCAAACATATTCTTCAACAGCAAACACTCACTGGGATTCCCAACAGGTTCAGGAACCATAGCAGCAACAACTTGAGCTGGAAGGATTGGGGCAGGAATAGCAGGTGCCCCACCAATTGGCAAGCTAATAGCTGCCTGGGATGGAGCTGCACCATTAAGCCCAGCCACCCCAAGTGAACCCGTAATACTACCAAAAAAATTACAAGAAATCCAAATGTTAGGAAGACACATTAAATTCACCCACCCTGCTGGAAGGAATAAACATATATATATATATATATATATATATATATATATATATATATATATATATATATATATATATATATATATATATATATATATATAGAGAGAGAGAGAGAGAGAGAGAGAGGGAGAGGGTAATAACTAATAAGACAGAAGAAAGTTGAATAAACCTGGAGGCTATGCCACTCCGATCCAACTTCTGCATCAGCATTGCTCTTGACTGTGCATTTAATGCCTGGGGAAGAAGAAATTGAACATTAAGGGGACTTAAAACTAATAAAATCTTCAGTTACAAAAAAGTTCACTATTCTACTTTTGCCAGTATATTAAATCATAAGATCTAACACTTACTAAATAGATTGCTAGGTCAATGGTTTAAACAGTTATTAGGAAAAGGGCACTCTTCATTATAAGAAGGTAGCCACCCTCTATTTCAACTCAAAATTTTATCCAATAATAATAATTATTATTATTATACTTATCCTCCTCAGTAATAATAATTTCTAATGAAAAGACAAAAGTATATTCATCAGTATATAAGGAAAAATCCACCACTAAACTTCTAAGTAGCATTCTCATTAAGCCCAAAATGGTGGAAGTAAACAAATTTGCTCTGAAAGACTGAAATAATAAAGCAACCATACCAGTCCACCCCCTTCATCATCATCAAAATCTGCAGTTTTGGCTGCTGAATCTTGTACCCCAACATGTTCAGTAACAGATGAAACCTGCATTTAAAAAATGTTAGTAAAACCACTAAACGAGTCCAGAAACCAGGAAACAGATGAGTGCACTTAGCAAATTATAAATCATGTCAAACAGCATACGCATCAGTCCCATGGAATACCTTGATTGTTCGACCAGCAATCTCCAGTTTTCCATTCAAACTCTGTGCTGCCTTAGCATGTTCAAGTTGAGCAAACTGCAGACAAACAATAAGGGGTTACAAATTTTCAAAACAGTGAGAAAACAATTTCACCAAAAGTTTAAGTAAAGTACACAAGTGCTACTCATCAGATACCGACTTGAACAAAGCCAAAACCTTTGCAATGTCCTGTTTCTGGATCGGTAGGTAGCTGCACAAGCTCAACTGGACCAAAAGCTTCAAAAATCTGGGCAAACACCAAAAAGAAATAATTTTAACATGTGAATGATGTGTAAACCAAACACTACAAATAGAGTGCATTTAATCCACTCAACAAAAAACACACACAAAAACACAGTACGTAGACATCATCCACTCAAAACTTAGAATAAATACTAATATAACTACGGAGTAGTTAATTTTACCTGTTTAAGCTGTAATTCTGTCATGTTGAAGTGCAGATTTCCAACATACAATTTCCTTTCTGAGGCAGCATATGGTCCAGTAACACCTGCTCCACCAGCAGCAGTATTTGATTGAACAAGATTCTTTTCAGCTTCTGAAGGCTTAACCATAACAGGCTGCCCAAGCAGTAAGTGTCCAGATAAGGCAATTGCCATTGGGACAGACATGGCATCATAAAATTCAATATACCTGCAAAGTCATGAACCATAATTATCCAGTTCACAACTAGAAAACTAAAATCATATTTTAACAAATCATAGTGATATAAGAAGGGTTAGAAAGCATATAAGGGACATCCTAGAAAGACACAATAATTCCCAACTCCACATGATGAAATATATTAGTACGCCCAACATTCATAGAGTGTTGTGTTAAGCACTTAAGCCCTTGAACAGAAAATCAACTAAAAATTAGTGCAGAGCAAATTAAGACAGGGTAGAATGGGGGGAAGCAATGGGAAACTAAAACCTCCAGCACTGATAATTTAATTAAATAAAATATATTTTGGACCTTGTTTACTTACACCTGTGACTTTTCAAAAGCAAAATTTTTATGTGTTTAGAATGAATTCATAAAGCAGCCTCAGCAGAATAGAACATACCCAACTCCTTTTGATCTCCTTGAATTTCGGTCCATGATCAGACGTACATCCCTCACCTGGAATGAGAAAACACAATATACATATATATTAAAATAATAGCAAATAAAAGGTGCGTTAGGGGGACCTTTTGCACATTCATACTACAGACCATGAAACCTGCAAGAGGCCATGAATAAAACCATCAGTTATAAGTTGTAAACTATTCAAAAATCCTGCTAATCCAACCACAGTGAAAGCATCAGCAAAAGAAATTGCTTTGCTTAGCCTACCTAAAATTGTAGCAGAGTCGCAGAGATATTTTTCCGTGTCAGCAAGACATGTACATACAGTATATGGAGGTAGATTGTCAACCAAACAATTTTTTGCTCATAAACATGATGTACCATTATCAATTTTCTACATGTTGCAAAAGTGTATTACTAAACAATTATAAATTACCATATCCATAGTAGCAACTACAATACAACACAAGAAATGTATTCAATAATATAATTCCATGCATATTGGCAAGAGATTGAACAACACAATAGCATTCCACTAACCTTTCCAGCTTGTGAGAAGAACTCATACACATCCCTTTCAGTTGCCTTCAGGGGCATCTGCAAGAAATGATTAAAACAATAAGGAAAATTAATTACTAATTATTTTTTAAAAATCCTTGAGGGAAAAATAACCATATGGTCCATATTTATGGAAATAGGGTTTAAAATACTATCCAAACCAATCCCATCCAAACTTATCATGGACATGTTAAAAAAGTTGGGGTAATACTCTCATGCCCAGAAGGTAAGGAATGGCAAATTAAAAGCAATAATCTACCTGATAAGCAAAAACAGTTCTTTGATCTCTTTCTGGATCAGCCTCTGGCTCTGCTGTCTCCTTCTTTTCCTTAAACCGCCTGCACAATTACTCAGAAAATAATAAGTCTGATGAAATTAATAATCCATCACCACTGCAAACGTTTACAAAATAAAAAACCATTGCATTAACTGCGGAAGATCTCTCCTAAAACCCTTACATTTCCTTCTCTACTACTAAAACATAGATTCAAACAATCCCAGCACCATAGCAATGTAGGGTTTAAATGGCTAACAAAAAGAAACAGGAGATGTTTGAACATATCTCACCATCATTGTTAGGAGTATTTCATGTTATAAATTAACCGGAGTAATATGTTACATAGTTAAGAAAACCTGAACACTGCAACATAATAACTAGATCTCTTTATGAAATCATTGGTTATGGATCAACTTTAAAGAATTTATAATATTGATATTCTTTTCACATGAAAATTTGTGGTGTGAATTGAGATTGCAAATAGTAAACAGAAAAAAATGATACAAAATCTGTTAACCCAAGGAGAGATTTCCTGAGTATTGGAAATTTTCCTTTGTTCATTTCTCATCTTCAATGAAGCAGAGTACCTAATACACTAAATACTAAGAAAAAACCTAAAAACTATTATAATTCTTTAGACCTTTAGGTAACAAGAGTGAACAGACATATAAAGTGGTGACCTTCAATGAACAATCATAATCACATTAAAGAGGAGACCTAAACTGAGACAGAGAACAGTTCTCAAGAAAACTCTTATTTTTAAAGAGCTCAAAATATCTGCCTTGAAGCAAGAATTCTAAGCTAACTGGGCCAACCAAACATCAACATTTAGGATAATTATATCCCTGTTTGCACAGGAAATGGAGTTAAAGCATTTTCGTCTTCGTAGTGAACAAAAGGTTGAAAAACTGATACAGCATCACACCATATGCGTAGCCAACCTAGAAATCCAATATATCATTTGTCAACATCTCAAATCAGATTTAAGAAAGTAACCTTAAATCCAACTATGCAAAAATATTAGAGGATTTAAGAGTGAGCCAAATCTTAAAGGCCAAAAAGAGAAACTTAACAGACCTTATCAGACTCAATATGTGGAAAGCCACTTTCTTCATTGAAGCCTTGAAGGGTTTCCGCATTGTTAGCCCATTAAGATGTGGAAACAATCCATCTACGATTTCAACCCAAGTTAGAATATTACATCCTTTGAGTGTACTCACACTTTTCATTAGACCATTTTAAATTTCCCTTAATGTTTCAATCTACTAGCAAAGACTAGACAAAAAAACACTGACTCATCGAAGGTAAGTGAATGTACTTCACCTAGAAAGTTTGGAACATATACCTGAAAACCTACTTTTCCATCAGATAAGTCTCAGAGAGTGAGACATACAGAAAACAGTCTTGCACATAATACAAATCTAGAAAGGGAAAGCCAGCAGCCATTTAGAATGAACTATAGTCCAGTATCAAGTAGTAAATGTTCAAAGTTTTACTAAAGGAATAAAATAACAAATCTTGATAACCAATTCATCCAAAACATGCTTTAAGCAAAATTGGTGAACCCAATAAATTCCAGATAGCTATTGAATGCCCCTTTCAAAATTAAATCTTTGCAAGAAAATGTAAATATTAGCAAGAGAAACCCAATGCAGCAATTAAATGGTATAAATCATACGAATTGAAGAAACACATCACCTGTTATCTCTTAATTCAAGCTCACGCTCTCGCTCTCTCAGCAGTTCCCTCTCTCTTTCACGATCGAGCCTCGAGCGACTGCGGCTCCTCCTCTCCCTCTCCCTTTCCTTCTCCCTGTCCTTCTCTCTCCTCTCCCGTTCCCTCTCCCTCTCCTTGTCCCGGTCTCTCCTCTCCCTATCCCTATCCTTATCTCTATCCTTATCCCTCTCCTTATCCTTTTCTTTCTTCTCCCTATCCCTTGAGCTCCTCTCTTTGTCTCTGTCGGACTCTCTATCCCGACTTCTATGCCGCGACGACCTCTCCTTATCTCTATCCCTTTCCCGGTCTCTATCCTTCTCCCTCCCGTTCTCTTCATCTCCACCCCGAGATCTTTTACTGCTCTTGCGATCTCTGCCGTCCTCATCGGCTATATCGTCGCTCTCGTCCCTTTCCCTCCTTCGGTAGCTTTTCTCGCTCTTCTCCTTCTCGGATGGACTGTTTTCTCTGTCTTTGTCCTTGCTCTTCGAAGATGGACCGTTGGTCTCTTCCACAGCCTTCTCCAGATAATCATACTCGTCGAAGTCCATCGCCATGCAGTTTTGCACGGAGGGCTGTTAGCGGAATTGCGAACCCTGGAGTACGTTAATGCTGGTGTGAAACCCTAGAGAGCTCCCTTCGTTTAGGGTTTTCTGAGAATTGGGGATACGGGGACGTGTTTAGTAATTGTGGCACATATCAAGGTGAGAGGGGAGTTGGATGGTATTTCAGAGAATATATAAGGGTGATAACGGGATGATCTAACAAATATTATGAACCGGCCTAGACCTCAATATTAACCCGCTACAGTTCAATTGTACTTAGCATTGCACAAATTAGGAATGACGGTTTGTCCCGTCATTAATTGGAATCTTTAATTCTTGTCCTAATATAAGTGAGGATGGAGAGAATTTTTGAAAAAACAAAGACAAAGATACCCCTCTCGTTTCCATACATATATATATATATGATTGCATTTGTAGACACTTAAATTTTGATAAATATTGATTATTTATCAATATTAGTATATTTGAATATATTTAAAATATTTTGGATAATATTAATATTATCTAATTTGTTTAATTAGATAATATCAAAAGAGTTTGAGCTTATCAAAACTCTTTATCCTACAGCTATAAATAGGGTCTTTCATTTCGATGTAATCACACACATCCTAGGAAAAGTGATGTAAACATCTAGAAAAATATTATTCAGGATCACAATAAAAATGTGATACTGAAAGTAGAAGTCTCTCCTCCATAATGATCATGCCTATGCCTATTGATCCAAACCTCCATTGAAGATCAAGCCATTTGAACCCGGAGGCCCTTCAAGAAGAACAAGCTATATATACAAGCCCTTCTTTGAAGATCAAGCCACTTGAAACCCGGAGGCCCTTCAATGGTGGAGTGTTCAAGGCACCAATTGAAGAATCAGAGGATATCTAGAGACATGTACCCACACCGCATTGATACTTGATATGTAAACCAGAACTTTGAATTTCTAAATATATATTCAATTTTCTTTGTTTACAAATTGGCACGCCCAGTGGGACAGCTTTGCCTCTCATCTCTTCATAGGCACTTTCAATCGATATGGGGGCAAACTCTGTATGAAATTTGAAACGGAGGAGGCTAAATGATACTCCTTGGCACGAGTTTAAACGGCCTTATATTCAGACTCCTTGGCACGAGTTTAAACGACCTCATATCTTTCAAGGCTCCTTGGCACGAGTTGAAACGGCCTTATATCTTTAAGTTGTAGTGTCAAGACTTTCTTGCACTACATACTTTCGAGTGTTATATGCTCTCAAGTGGTGTACAAGCAAGTCTCGAGGGGGCATTTGTAGACACTTAAATTTTGATAAATATTGATTATTTATCAATATTAGTATATTTAAATATATTTAAAATATTTTGGATAATATTGATATTATCTAATTTGTTATTAATTAATTAGATAATATCAAAAGAGTTTGAGCTTATCAAAACTCTCTATCCAACAACTATAAATAGGAGCTCTCATTTCTATGTAATCAGACATCCTAGGAAAAATCATAGAAAGAAATCTAAAGCTTATTCAGAGATCACAATAAAAATGTGATCCTGAAAGTACAAGTCCTTCCTCCTTCATATGTTGATGTATGTTGATTCAAACCTCTATTGAAGATCAAGCCATTTGAACCCGGAGGCCCTTCAAGAAGAACAAGCTATATATACAAGCCCTTCTTTGAAGATCAAGCCACTTGAAACCCGGAGGCCCTTCAATGGTGGAGTGTTCAAGACATCAAATTGAAGAATCAGAGGACATCCAGAGATCTTGTACCCACACCCCCTTGATATTTGACATGTAATCAGAATTTTGAATATTAAAATATATTATTCAATTTTCTTTGTTCACAGCATTCACATGCAAACACCTTTAAAATACAAATATGTAAATATGTGGACATATACCGTGCACACACCTAAAATGCGGGTGTGCACACATCCGTGTATGATAATGCACACATCTAATATAGTATGCATGTGTAAATCCACAATATTTGGGCCAGCGTGCACACGTCCATGAACGACAGTGGATACAGGCGCGCAGCACACAAAATCATAAAAACTAATCACAACTTTAGATACCCAAAATCCAACGATTTAGAAATGTTCACACGTTTGTATTTTAAGCTCTGTTTTTACATGAATGTAATTATATATATATATATATATATATATATATATATATATATATATATATATATATATATATATACACGCGCACACACAAGGGATCATATGCACTGCTTCTCCGATCCCATGTGAAACGTGCGTATCAATCCCAACCATTCATCTAACGCTCATAAATTGATTTCAACTATTGATTGAAATTTTTAATCCACGGTTGATTATGTTCAAATTCACACATTGAGAGGTATAAAAGAAAAGAAAGAAAGAAATTACGACAGTTTCTCCACTACTCCATGTTGTATTTGCACTTCAACACATCAATTAATCATTCACAGGTGAGAAAAAGCTTAAGAGCTCAAACATGAAGGAATCGACTATGCATGTACCAGTTTCAAAGTTGTCCAACTTTACATGCCTTATGGTGCAAATTTATGCACCTTAGAGGTCGTTTAGTTCACGGAATATTATAATACCCTAGGTAATAAGATTATCTCTAAGATGCTAATGTGAGCTTAAGGGAATATGAGCTTAAGGAAATATAAGATCTCATAATGTGTTTGGTTAAAGTTGTGGGAATGTAATATTAACTTATTTGGTTGGAAGGTACATTTTAAATTATATTACATCAATTATTTAAATATTCTCATAGAAAATGAGCAAGTATCTTTTTTTTTTTTTTTTCCATAGTTCATAATAATAACAATAATAATATACAAAGGGTGGGAGAAGGTCCAAGTTGATCTTGATAATGAAGCGTTGGTGAAGATCTTCAACAAAGATGGCTACATGGATCACACAACACACCTATATATGGTTGAGGAAGGCTACCATTTGATGTGCAATATAAGAGTGCTTAAAGTGACTCTTGTGTTTAGAGAAGGAAATAAATGCGCAGATACGCTGACTAATCTGGGTCAAGATTGCGACCGGGAAACTACTATTCTAGAAGACCCGCTGGACTGCTTAGTTGAGCTCCTTTGCACCGATGCGGGAGGGGCCCTTTATCGTAGAATAGTCTAATGGGGGCCTAGCCCCCTCCAATGTACCAAAAAAAAAAAAAAAATACAAAGAGTCATTGTAGTATCTGTTCATCTATCCTATTGAAGTACAAAGAGCCTCATTGAGGCTCAACCTCATGACCTCTCATATGCAGGCCCGGATTTTGGGTTGTGCGTTGCACGGAAAAGATTTGTTATAATCTTAAAATTATAACAACGAATATTATATAGTGCAATTGATGAAATGGGTTGTATCGATTATGTTTTTTTTTTTTATGTTATCCTTGCTTGAATTCGAGCAAATAATTGCCCTTTTTTTATGTTATCCTTGCTTGATTTCGAGCAAATAATTGCCCAATTATCCGTGTGATGTGTGGATAATTTTTTTTGTTATATATTTAGATAATAAAATTACGGTATTAGTTTTATAGATTTTAATTTTGGTAGGGCCTTATTTATTTATCCGAACAGGGCCACAAAAATATAAAAATCGGCCTTGCCCATATGGGAGTCACTACATGTCATCTGACAAGGTGTTTGGATTTTTCTTGTTGTTGTTATTATTATTACTAGTAATTCACCCGCGCGATGCACAGGAAAAAATTATGTTATTATAAATATAAATAAAAATAGAAAAACTAAAATATTTTAAATTATTTAATATAATAATATTTTTGAGCTTCCATTGGTCAAGTATTTATTATTTTTATAGAATACAAAATTACAATTACAATTAAAATTATAATTATAATTTTGTATGGTTAATATAATCTATAATTATGTGCATATTCAAATAAACTTATAGAGAGAATTTACATAATTACATTGATTTATTCTTAATTGTATTTCATCTATATTATAATTTTCACAATACGAATAATAACTAAGATAATTACATTTGGAAAGCAAATTTCAAATTTTGTATGTGTAAATTTAAACTCTAATTGAACACATTTTTTATATTATTATATAATATATAGTTATTTTATTTTTCAAAAGTATATTTTTATATGATTATATAATATATAGCTATTTTATTTTTTAAATGTTGTGCTTTTTTTTAAAAAAAAAATAATAAAGGATGTTGTGGCATTAATTGTAACATTAATTATTTCCCAAACCATATAGCTTTATTATATAAAGGATTATTATTATTATTATTATTATTATTATTATTATTATTATTATTATTATTATTATTATTACCTGCAAAAAAAATTAAAACTAAAACTTGCAAAAAATTATAGCATGCAACATGTGTTCATGTAATAGAATTCCTACAAAAGGAGACTTAACCTTCTTCTTTTTTTTTTTTTTGACTCCCTAATTTTGTACTTTTACCTTGTTGAAAGTTTAACAAATCTCACTCAATAAAATAAAACTAACTAGTTGACTTATTCCGTAAAAATTTCCAAGTGTAAAATTATTATTATTATTTTTGGTACTCAAACTCCATACAAAGATTGAATAATAGATCAAGTTTTATAAATCTTGGTTTCCATGTATGGATGGCAATTGGCAAGTAAACAGTGAGTACAGCCTTGCCTTCCTTTCATTTTCATCTATTTCGATCCACTTTAAAACGAATTAAATATTTACTACTAGAATGATTGTATAGGCAATATCGAAGATAATTAAAGTTGAGTACAAATTAAAGAAAGGTAAATTTTTCAAAAAAAAAATAAATTCAAAGCCATTCACCAAGATTAGAATAGTTGAGGCGGGCAAAGGACTCCCACTGTACTCAATCATGAATTGAAAAAATATAGGCCCTGTAATTGGGTTAATTAGAGGGTATAATTAGTTGATAACATTAGTTGATTGTAGAAATCTATTTGGTAAATTAACTGTTAGCTGATAACTGTTTGATATAATTTATTTTTTCAAAAAAATTAATTGAAAAAGTTGTTTTTAAGTAGCTTTTGGAATTTTAGCGTTTTGGAGTAAAAAAACTAATTAACCAAAATAAAACAATTAATAGTGGTCAAATAAGCTAAAATTAGTTTATAGGCTAACTATTTTACCAAACAGTGGTGAGAATGATAATGATAGGGGTGTTGTATTGTGGGAAAAGGAGGCCTTCTGATCATGGTAGCTTGTTCAAAAGCATAAGAAAGTTGAATCAACTTAGGCTCCATTCCTTTTAGCCCTCCGAAAAACAAACCAAATGGCATTCCATCAGTGTCATATCCCGCAGGGACTGTGATCCCAGGATACCCTCCAATTGCCAGCACTGTTGAGGCAGCTGACCCTATTGTTACCATTGCATCCAATTCATTATCTATCATCATTTTCTCATATCCATCACGTGATAGTGTTTGCATCATCTCCATGCCCTTCTTTTCTTCATCTCTCATCCCATTTGTTAGCTCTGCACCAGCCAATATCTCTAGCCCATTGAAATCTTTGGTGCTCTCCTGTATTAATAATACACAACCAGATCAGATCGATGCATGGAATAATATATATAAATAATAATGGTGAATTGGATGGGATATATATGAGTGCATGCAGACTTACTAATTTGGGATTATTGTTGATGAAGTCTATAATATCAGCTAATGATCTGACAGGGGAAGTGATAAGCTGTTGTTGAAGATAATCGTTTAAACTGAGCTTGAACTCAGCCAACAATGCCACTAATTCACCGCTTTGGTAAGGGTCCAGGATGACATTGATATTTGGTATCTCTAGATTGTCAATTATAATTGCTCCATTTTCCCTTGAATTCATAAAAAGCATGTTGGCCGGGTTACACAAGAGAACAAAAATGAATTGAAAGTTGTCCCTTAGCTTATATATATATATATATATATATATATATATGTTATTACCTAAGTGTTTGGAGATGGGCCTCAAGAACTGGAATTGCTAGGGACCTCTTTGACAGAGCCAAGAATGGATGTCTGACCACACCTAATCTGCTTCCGTTTAGTCCATTTTTATTGAGAAACTGTTTGTAACCAGCTTTTGGGATGAAGTAAGATGCAGGTTGTGTTGCCTCAGAGTCCCTTGGATCAAACCCCACAATTGCATCCAGAGCGTAAACAGCATCTGAGACTGTTCTCGCGATGGGCCTACAATTATATATATATATATATATATATATATATATATATATATATAATATTATGTGTGAGAAATGAGAATAGCATATATATATATATATATATATATATATATATATGGCAAATTATGCCCTGGACCCGTGTCCACATTGAATTGTGGACACGAGCCCAAAACGACGTCGTTTTTAAAAAAAACGCGTCATTTAGTTAAAAAAAAAAAAATCGCGCGCGTTTTGCCGTTAACGGCGTTATTTATTTATTTTTTTTTTTGGATTATGAATGTACAGTTATGCCGTTATGAATGTACAGTTATGCAATTATGAAATTATAAACACAAAGCTCTAACATTATGAACTTACAATTATGAACATATATAGTGATAAAATTATGACCATGGAGCTTTAAAATTGTGAATATAGAGCTTCGAAGATTATGAATGTACAGTTATGGAGTTATGAATGTACAGTTATAGAGTTATGAATTTATAGGTATGGAGTTATGAATCTACAGTTATGAGATTATGAATCTACAGTATGGAATTATGAATGTACAGTTATTGATCAAATTATGAACAAAGAGCTCTAACATTATGAACTTACAATTATGAACATATAGTGATAAAATTATGAACATAGAGCTCTAAAATTGTGAACATAGAGCTTCGAAAATTATGAATGTACAGTTATGGAGTTATGAATGTACAGTTATGGAGTTATGAATGTACAATTATAGAGTTATGAACGTACAGTTATGGAGTTATGAATGTATAGTTATTAACATATAGTAATAAAATTATGAACATATACTCTTACAATGAAGCGGTCTGATTTTTTTTTTAAAAAAAAAAAAGAAAAAAAAAAGGAGATAACAGTGCCTAACCGCACTGTTACCGGTGTCCAGCAAGCATGCTGGACACTGGTCCAACGCATAACGATTGTATATATTTTGAATGCTACTGACTATATTACATTGTATTATCTGTCAACAATGCCTCCACTCGAAGTTTGATCTCATGACTTCCCAGTTGAGGTCACTACATGACATCTGACTTGACAAAACAATATATATATATATATATATATATATATATATATAGCTGAATAAAAGAATGAATATATGTAGTTACCCGACTGTATCTTGGCGGGGTGAGAGGGGAATGACGCCAGATCGAGAGGTGAGTCCAACGGTGGGCTTGATGCCAACAACGGAGTTATAGTCAGCAGGGCAGAAGATGGATCCATCGGTTTCGGTCCCCAATGATACAGTAGCCATGTTAGCTGCTACTGATATAGCAGATCCACTGCTAGAACCACATGGATTTCCCCCTTCAACATATGCATTCTGCATTCATACATACATACATACATCAAATTATTCCTTTAAATGAATTAGGCTTCATCAATTCAACCTTTAATTTAATTTTGAAACAAAGAAGCTGAATGAGTGACTAACCATGCCCTGCCCACTTCTAGGGCACCACCCATCCGGAATGCTCATTGATCGAAAATGGTACCACTCGCTCATACTGGATTTACCTAAAATCACCGCCCCCGCCGTCCTCAGCCTCTCCACCACCCCAGCGTCCCGAGCCACCACAGACCCCAGCAGCGCGTACGATCCACCGCTGGTGTTCAGCTTATCCTTCGTAGATATACTGTCTTTAAGGAGCACAGGAATTCCGTGCATCATACTCCTTTTTCGTTCACTATTCTCCTCCCTCTCTTTGTCAGCTTTCTCAGCTTCAGCTCGTGCATCAGGATTCACTTCTATCACAGCTCGGAGCAGCGGGTTGAGGGCCTGGATCCTCTCCAGGTAAAAGTCAACGAGTTGGAGAGATGTGAGGTCTCTCTGGGTAAATGCGCGCTGTATGTCATTTATGCTGGCGTCAACGATGTTCAAGTCTCGGCAACTGCCCAGAACCAGGAGGAGCTGGAGAACAATAAGAAGAAATGAGGCACTCACACGAAGCTGCAGGACTACCATGATTATACTATCTATCTATCATCTTTCTTCTTTCTTAGCTGCCTGCATTTATATATATAAAACAAACTTGTGATCTGGGCAGAGCAGAGCAGAATTTTGCACAATATGATTATCAATCGAAGTGGTGACGGGTGAATTTGGAAATTTCAGAGCCCACACGCCACGTTATATTACTGGCCCACTTCTACTTATTAGTGTATGGGCTATAGCCCGCAAACCAATTGTTATGCTTAGAGCACATGCTCACCTTGCATGGTGTGCACAAATTTATATCCATAATTCTTATACCGTGAATTCATAATTTCTATACTATATATTCATAATTTCTAGACTCTCAATGAGCTAAAATTTATACTTTAGATTCATAATTTCTAACCACGAATCTATATTTATAATTTCTATAATGTAGATCCATAATTTCGAGACTCTCAGTGAGCTAAAATTTATACTTTAGATTCATAATTTTAGCTCACCGAAAGTCTAAAAAATTATGAATCTAAAATTATGAAGCTACAGTATAGAAATTATAGATTTATTATAGAGAAATTATAAATTTATGATATAGAAATTACGGATATAGATTCGTATGCATCATGTACATAGTGAGCACGTGCTCACATCATAATTTGCCCCGCAAACCTAGATTGCCATATTGCTCACCCAAAATTATTATTTTTTTTTCAAAAACCCAAAATTACTTCATTCCGTAACTTCTAAAAATAGTACCAGCATTTTTTTTTTCATTCATACAATAAAAAAATACTGTAATTGTGATACATAATATCTATCTAAAACATGATAAGTCTCAATCAAAGTTATATCCATAATTTATGTCAATATTTTTAGTGCTAATCATTTTGTATAAGGTGCTTTTATAATTGTACTATATAATATTTTGGACAAAAAACCTCTTACCATTATAATTTTCGTTACCTTTTCCATAACAAAATATGTACTTTACATATTTAAGTTTATGTACATACAATTGAGTATGTACCTACTACTGCAAAGATAAGGATTGATCAAATAGAAAGAAAATAAACATAAGTCATTCTAAATTAGATAAAACGATATCATTTTACATCAAAGTCCAATCCTAACTCACACGGATCCGAAAGAGCTCGATCAAGTAGTGGGAATCATATCATAGATAGGTGTTGACTGTCCAACTTGTAGACTGGATTTGGGGGCCGGTGTAAACACAGATGCACCTGCAAAGTTTCAAACTTGAATCAATTGCTTAAACAGATTAGGCAGGCAGGCAGGCATACTATTACTGGTGTTGTGTTCTTGCAATCTTTTTTGTAAAATGCATGCAACTCATCCTCATCATATACATGACTCGAAAACATAAACAAAATGTAGGATAGGATGTATATGTTGTGGCATTACTACAGTTTACAGATGAAAGAATTCAACAATGAACAACCTTTAACATTCAAAATGAGAGAACAAAGCGACATGTGGTAAAGATTGCAGAAAACAGAATGGCACAATCTGCCCGAGTAAAGTTCACAAAATAAATTGAAGAGGCAGGCAGCACAAGCCGCCCGGAGTTTATCACCACCTCAAAATTGCACTTCAAACCAAGCACCTCAGCTAGCTGGGTAATTCCATCTTCTATCCAAGCTAGAATGGTAAGTTGATCTGGAGGAGGATTCCAGACCCAATGCAGCAAAGTCAAGTTCAGGAGACTTTGTATCGCTGCCTCGACTTCTAACATCACCGATCTCTTCTTCAGAGTTGCGTCGTTGGGATATCTTCAGAAGATCATCCCCAATGTCAACATCATCTTCTACCTTTACTCGTCTCCTATCCTCGGAATTATCTGAAGCAGCTGCTGCTTCGTGGATTCGGGGGGTTTTTGCACATTCTTCATTCACATATCCTTGGAAATTGTTTTTTGAAGCTTCAATTCTTGTGCACAATACCTCAATGCAATTGTTCACGCAACCCCTGTTGTACACATTGATCCTGTTGTCTGCTCTATGCCGAAAGTTCTCATATGTCGTCTGCAATCATCAATCCAAATTTAATCAACAAAACAAACCTTAATCAACAAATCAGCTTGCTCTGATACCATGTTAAAAGCTAGAAAGGGTAAGGCTAGTGAGCTGCCCAAGACTTTTAATATTCCAACAATTATATATCCATGCCAAATGCTTAAAATGTTAATCCAAGTATGACCAAACACAAGTACAAATATGACCTGATTTTTGCTTATAAGGTACAAATGGAAGCCAGTGAGACCGCCAACGAACCAGAGTGACACAAAGCAATAGGCCATCAATACCAAAGATGCTGGTGATTCTTTCATAGCCCTCCAAACAGTTCCATATTCATCCACAACAAATTTCATATGTAAGGCTGACATTGAAAACACGAAAGCACACAGGAGGGCTGTTGAAGAAACAAAGAGGAAGAACCACCGATAATTGCGCTGCACATTCACCCCCAACAAATAAGCCTCTCTCTCAGTCTCAAAAAATATACACTATCATGTATAGAATATGTATACCTTTCCAATGCATTGGCCCACCCAAGGGCAATGGTGATCAAACCGCTCCACACAATTATCACATACAGAGCAATGAGAGCACCTCGGAGGACGAAACACCATACATGTTTCGCAATATTTAACTCTCACAATTAAACCATTCACAATAACTTCTTTGGTTCGGGGCAAAGCTTTTCCACCAGCTTCAACAGAGGCAGAAGATTCATAATTTAGTATTTCATCTGGGGGACGAGAATTACGAGGAACAATGCCGGGATCTTGTGTTGCAGTTAAAATCAGAAGCAGCAATACCTGTTGCAACCAATATAATAGGGCATTATTAACATTTGAAATTTTTGTAGATGAGTTTGAGCATCAAATACTATACATAGAATCAAGAAAGTCAAAATGCCTTCCAATTGGAAAGGGCAATTAAGAGAGAGATTGAGCAACTAACATATATTGTGAAAATGATTGTGACAGTCATAATCACATATCCAGCAGCACTGCTTTGTTGAAACTTGGTTGCAACAAAAGTACAAAAGATAACAACTGGGATGAGGATGAGCATCAAGGTTACTATCAATGACCTAGCATCTGGTCCAAATATCAGTCTCCCGTTGAGAAGGAACTTCTGCACAATAATCAAAACAAAACAACCCCAATAATCAAATAGCACAGCAAAGAATAGTTACATGTATATATTATGCAAACCCGCGTTCAAAAATTCAATCTTTAACACACACCTACCCACTGTCCTCAAACAAGAAAGGTAAATAAATAATATGTAGAAATAGATTGGAATTGAGGTAGAGTAACATACGTTTTTCCCTTTCCAGGCTTGGTATAGGCGCAGGGGTTTGGCCATTCCCTCACCCTCAGTATGGTAGCCAGGAGGAAGAGAATGCAAAAAATTGGTGTAACTTGGAATGGAATCATTGCTCCTTCACTTTCAATTTTCCCTCTTTTCTTTTTCTCATTTCCTTTTCTTTAAACATAAAAATTCGTGTCAAAGAAAAAATTCAAAATGGCGGTCCTGTCCTGTGGTTCAAATGCGGTGGTGGATTTAATGATGGTTGCTGCTTTATCTTTTTCTCTTTCTGCTTTATTTAAGCATATTATATTTGAAAAATCTGAAATTTCATTCTCTATTTACTTTTGCGTTGCAGATAGTAAAACTCTACATAATATGAATCTTTTTTACTATTTCATGGAAAATTTTAAATCAAACATTATATTCTCTTTAGGTTGATGATGATAATTATTAATTAATATTAATATTATTATAATATAATAATTTCAAATGCAATAAACGATGTATCAATTCATTTTCTATCTAAAAATATACAAGTGGGAAAACATGAATATTATTTGCACTGTTTCATAGATGAAGCATAAATTTAAATGATATAACAAATAGACTGAACCCCAATTGTTTAATATTTACATACTTCATAGGTATGCAGTGTTTCAAAGATGAAGCTTAAATTTACATGAAATACAGAGATATCAAAGCAAAAGTTGAACAATCGATACTTCCTAAGAACAAGACATACAAAATAGCCTCCCAGGAATTATTTTGGGATAACAATTGTGGTTCGTGCACTACCTTACACTACAAAAAACTCCAAATAAATACTAGAAATACAAATACAAATCTATTAATAACAAAGTCGGTCTCCCTCCAGCTCCAGTAAATCATCCACAGTATATCTTCCGGATTAATTGAAATCAAATCAGCAGCTAAAATGTCTACCTGCCGTGAACACCAAACTCTTACTCACTACAGCACCCACCAGCTTATTATAAATAAAATAACACATGTTTCAGGAGACAGGTAATACAAAGCGATTTAAAAAAGATTCGCAGTGTTGTTTAAGCTGAACAAAACATAATAACATTCAAGAAAATGCTTGGAACTTTAATTCTTTCTAATAGGTTCAAGTTCTTATATATACTTTTCTGCGAACCCATATGAAATAACTAATAAATTACATTATTAATATAGAATAGAGTTATTAAAAAGATTAAAACACAAAAATAGAATAGAGTTATTAAAAAATAAGAAGTGATATAAAGATTAAAAGACAAAAATATTCCTTTTATTTTTCCAAGTTGAATTGCAGTTATATAGGGAGGGACATATAAATTTCAATACTTGCAATTCTATCCAGTCAAACAATGTAATTTCTGCCAAAGAATCCATTGTAATTGAATTGCAAGCCAAACCACTGCGAATGTTTTGAGAAATAATTCAAGCCTTAGTTTTAGGATGATCAACACTTGATTAAGAAGCAAGAGCAACAATAGCAGTTACCATATGAAAGTAATACATCCATCCAACTATTGGTATTAGTATTAGTATTTGAAGTATTTGAAGTATTTGATTGATATGTACCACCCAACAATGATCAGCACCGGAAACAAAAAAAGACAGTGCTGACAAAGTGAAAAGGATGGAAGTCTCATATCTGGGACATCATTCTTCCCTTAAGCAATTCATCGATTCATGCTAAAGGGGCAGACGTTTAGTCCCAAACAACAAAAAAAAAAAACGCTATAATATGTATGTGTCTCAGACATCCAAGGAAAGCAGCATAAGCTCTCAAGCCCGGCGAAAGGCGAAAGCTCTTAGGCGGCCACTGCGAATGTTTTGAGAAACAAGCCTTCAAATATCTCATCACAGACACCAAACAATCGATCTAATCTAACCTAAGAACAAATTACGCTGGGATGGGAGTTGCGAGCAGAGGAACGTCTCACCCGTCAAAATGAGAATTTAGTTGAACATCGGTGATTATATATTTATGTAGGTTTAGGGTTACGGCCTAGTAGATCGATCGTTTTAGGGTTTGTAGAGATTTGGGTAGCTGGAACAGTCTGGAATCTGGATTCCGGAGGTAGTTTGGGCCACCTGGGCTTGGACAACAGAATTAACATACGCTTTTGGGTAATTAGATTATGGAAGTAGTTTGGCTATGTGGGCTTGGATTGCAGTTATATGGGCTTTCTGGATCGCTGTAGTCCAAGTCTTCTTCTGCCAGTTGTTATACCATTGACCAGCCAGGTGGATCTTGGTCCTAAACGATGTATAAGTTACGTATTTTTAGTATTGAAATTATGAACTTTTAGAATATAAATTGTATTTTAAAGTCCAAATACATAATAATTATATAAAGAAATTTGTGAATACAATACAGTGTCACAAATCCTAATATGATAATATTGTGTGACTGTAGTATTTGAAATTTTGCATTGTGAATACAAAACAAGGCAATCAATTATATATATGTTAATATCGTGTGTTTGTAGTATACAAATTGTGAATTTTTAAAAAGTAAATTGTGAACATTTAGTATGTAAATTGTAAATATTTGTGCGCAGGTCCACAAAATAATTTGCGTTCTTATGGGCTTTGTAATTGACCTTCTCGATTGGAACTGGAAGTGGAAGAAAGGGCGGCTGGTATACCTTCGGAAATCTGTTTCATGTAGCTTGGCAAGGAAATTTTGAGTCGTGGGTACAGGTGGCCGGACATTTTCTTTCTTTCTTTTTCATTTAAAAAAAAAAAAAAAACAGTCCTCCACACACACATATGAACAATCCCTCCTTTCGGAAAGGAAGGAGTGCACTGGAATTATAATTTCAGAATGAGAGGATCCGAAAGGAAGGAGTGCACTGGAATTATAATTTCAGAATGAGAGGATAATCCTCTCATTCCGAAAGAACAACAATATGCACATAAAGGTACATTAATGTGCACTTGAAAGGACAACAGTACAATATGCACTAAAAGACACTCGAAGACACAATAATATACATCTGAAGGTTCAAAATTATGTACATGTAGGTTCAAACTTGTGCAATTGAGTAACACGACTTATGCACTTCAAAGTAAGAAAACAAAATCAAAATACCACCACATTTTTTTAAAAAAAAATCTTTCATTCTGGACAGTTGATATAGACTTAGATTAATAATTGAGATTGATGTGCACGTTTCACTCAATTATTTGGTTCTTTTATATATATATATATGGGGGGGGGAGGGGGTCAATATTGTAATAGAATTAGATAATATTTTATTATAGAAAAATTGACTTATAGGTCAATTTTGGCTTATTTGATCACTATTAATTGTTTGATTTAGTTAAATATCAATATAAGTTTGGTTAATTAACTTTTTGCAACTTCAAAATGCTAAAATTTAAAAAGCTACTCCAAGCAACTTTTTCAATTAACTTTTTGAGAAAAGAAGTTATATCAAACAGCTATTAGCTAACAACTAATTTACTAAACACTTTTCTACAACAGCTAATGTTATCAACTAGTTATATCCTCTAATTAACACAATTAACTAACAGCTATCAGCTAACAACCATTTATCAAATAGGGCTTAGTGGTCTTAGCTGTTTTGTTGTTTTGAATGGTTTAGGGATCGAAACCAATAATTATGTCTTTTTGCTTCCATTGAACTCTTTTTTTTTTTTTTTTTTTTCCTGGCCCGCCCCTGGTTGAAATTACGTACGTATTACATGCATCTATCTTTCATATATCAACCTAGCTAGCTTATATATAAAATCAAATTAATTAGATCCATGCATCATCAAATCATAACCGATGGAAGCGCTATATATTCACATCTATTGAATTGATATGATATGATGATACTTTAAACTAACTGTACTTTAGGTTGGCGCTATATATGTAAGTAATATAACATACAATATTATATTATTTATCTTATAAATATTATATATACATACAAATTCATCATCACTACTTCCGATCCTATAACTAATTAATCATATATACCTATACTAACTCTACGCAGTACTATTAATAATATTATAACGTACACAAATTGCAACTAACTAGCCACGCCCCGCCTAATATAAGCTAGCAATTAAGCAACTTAATTACATGGATAGGCCGGGTGATCTATCAGATCCGATCCACATACGACGTACATACTCTTAATTAAATGACTAACTGAAACTGTATGTATATGTATATAAAAAGTATAGTTTTCAAAAAAGAAAATGGATGGATGGATCTGATCTACTTATATTAGCATGCATGCATGCAGCTAGGTAGGTAGAATTGGTATATATATTATTATCATTGTTGGATGGGATGGGATCAATTATGAATTGGAGGTTTCTTCTGAGCAGGAGTGTAATCCATGTCGTCTATGTCTACTGCGCCCTCCAGCTCGCCCGGTACTTCCTTCTTTGTAATTACTACTACAACACTTTGATGATGATGATGATTTCCATGTTTTTTAGCTCCTTCCAATTCACCGCTACTTGGACTTCTCAAATTTCTCCCTGCACCTGCGGCATCCACCATCCAATATAAGATGGAATTATTATATATATTAATAGATAGATCTGCTGATCAGAGATGATATATATATATATGGATTTACGTACGTACCTTGAGCAGTGATTAACATGAAGCAAAGCAAGAAAGAGAGAAGCAAGAAGCTGCAGCGGCGGCGTGTTTTGGGCATCGCCATCTTATTATCTTCTGCAAATTATTAAGCTAATTAAGAAGGAGATGGGTGGATTTGTGTGGATGAGTGAGCTGAGATGGGATAAAGAAGGTGCGGTTCGTGCAGGGCAATTTATAGCTAGGCTGCAGGCAGACAGATTAAATTGATCATATCGATCCAGATATATAAGAATTGAAATTAATTAAAGATCTATCTATCTATCAATCAGAGTATAGTATGTAGTATACGTAGAACGAAAAATGCAAGCAAGATTATTAATTGCAGTTGGTAGGTCAATCATGTTGAAACCAGGCCAACATCGATCTAATTCATGTATCAGTATTAGCGGCATGAGGGCCACAACAGGTCACCTTCACTCTAAATCAATATAATATAATATAATGTTCGTTTCATTTATCCATCTTTAATTGCATATATGCATGCATGCATACCGCCCTAAGCTACTACCCGCATTACTACACTACTATACATTATTGCATCTCTATATACATACTATAACTAGCTACCTACGTTACGTTTTTCTTCTCATCTCCATCTCCATCCTAGTTTAATTTCCATCTTTCTTTATCGTATCTACCTAGCAAGCTAGCTCTAATTTAATGTAAAATAATTCTATCTATCTCATATGTATTATGTGTAGTATAGAATTTTACTTAATTAGCTTGCATGTTTCACACCCACAACATTCTAACTTTAATTTCACTGTATTCCACATGAGACGGCCTATATATTAGTAGCTCTGATCTTGGTTTGATGAGTTACGTTAGTTATAAGCAATTTATACTAGTTTATCTTAATAAGGGATAGCAGTGCACGTGACAAGGAAGGTGAAGCTCAGCTACTAGTTGAGGAAGACAACACAAAGGGCATTAGTGTAATTTGTGAATAAGTGTATGTTATAACGGTTTACCCTCCGTATATAAACCTTTGTGTAAAGCTCTGAACTGCTATCTTGAATGATATCTTTCACCCTGCTTTCTTCTCATCTCTCTTTCTCATGTAACCGCTCTGCGTCATGGTATCAGAGCTACGCTCTTATGCCGCCGCCCTCATAGGCACCGGCGAAGCTAGTCTGGGAGCTCAACCTAATACTCTGATCATCCACTCACCGATCCAAACTCCTTCCATGGCAATTCCACAGAGAAACTCGCCATCGCGAACACACAGAAATCTTAGCGCAGAGGAGCTGGAGAATCCTCTCCGTCTTAGCATCAATGACAATCCAAGCGCAGTGCTCATCAGTCCGCTGCTAACAGGAAGCTCGAATTACGGAACATGGAGCATCTCTATGCGGATAGCTCTTGAAGTGAAGAACAAGTGGAGCCTCATCGGCGGTAGCCTCATGCCGCCGAACAGAGATCAGCCTCAGCATATTACTTGGAGGCGGCGTTGCAATTTGTTGATTTGTTCGTGGCTATTCCAGTCTGTTCAACCTTCCATTGCACAAAGCGTCATGCATTTAGATAATGCGAAAGATGTATGGGAGGATCTGAGAAGAAGGTTTGCACAACGTGATGCTCAACGGATCTCTATGCTACAAAGTGAGATCTACGATCTGAAACAAAGAGCGATGAGCGTGAACGATTATTACACTAAAAGCCGAACGCTCTTGGAAGAAATGAATACACCCAGACTAATTCCTCACTGCAAATGCGATCCACGGTGCAAATGCGACCTCATCGAACAAATTCGATCAGAACATGACATAGACCAGGCGATCAGGTTTTTACAAGGCCTTAATGATGATTATAATGGTTTAAAGTCTAATGTGCTTGTGTTAGATCCACTGCCTGAGCTTTATAGAGTCTTCGTTATGGCTGAGAAATTGGAAAGACAGATTATTGTGAATAATATGACTTTAGGCAACACAGATATTAGCCATGCTAATGCTATTGGGAAAACTAATGACTCTGATGAATTAATGGCTGCCTATCTGAACTCTTACAATGGCAAACGAGCTGGTAATGCGAAGGCAAAGTGTACTTTCTGTGGTATGACAGGGCACACCGTGGACGAGTGCTACAAAAAGCACGGTTATCCCCCGGGGTGGATACTAGGGTTCAAATCAAAAGGCAAGCAATTTCAGAACACTGCAGCAGTGATAGGGGATCTGGGAATATGCTCAGAACAATTGCAGAAGATTATTTCCATTCTGCAGCCTCAAGCCAACCAATCTCTGAGCTCAACCAGTGTTGTTGTGTCCTTGGTTCCCAATTTTAAAGAGCTGCAACCCGATAACAAAGGCAAGTACCCCATCACTCTTGTCAATTCCTTCTCTATGTGCGAACCTTCTTGGATTCTTGATTCAGGGGCAACGAACCATATAGTTTGTTCCATGGACTTTTTGCTAACCATCGTCAGGCAACTGGAACTAAAGTCAACTTACCCACTGGCCAAATTATTGAGGTTCAACACTTAGGGAACGTAAAGCTAACTGACAATCTGTGGCTCAAAGAAGCCTTACACATCCCTTCCTTTAAATTCAACATTATTTTAGTCAGCAAGCTTATACATGATACATATTTTAGTCAGCAAGCTTATACATGATACAAACTGCAATTTGATTTTTATGCCTGGACAGTGTCTAATTAGGAGAATAATGGAGTGATGGGTGGTATAGCTAAAGAGGACAGGGGACTATATCTTCTAATGGAGTCACCTAGGCTGCACTTTGTATCTCAATGTACTGGGAGTGAATTGTGGCACCAAAGATTGGGTCACTTCCCTATCAATAAACTACATTTGTAGAAAAACATTGATGTTTCTGTTAATAAGAGTATTGCACGTGACATATGTCACTTAGCAAAACACAAACGTTCTCCTTTTCCGTTGAGCACTACATCTTCCAAAAATCACTTTGATCTCATACACATTGATATATGGAGGCCATTTACAATACAATCTTTAAAAGGGGAACGATACTTCCTAACGATAGTTGATGATTTTTCTAGATTTAGTTGGATTCATCTAATGCAGAGTAAATTAGAAGCAATGGCGGACCCATAAATTTTGTTCAGTGGGGGCGAAACATTAGAACAAAAGAGATAGCTTAAAAAAGATGAAACAATTAAGAAATTAACCATAAATATTGTTAGATATGAGCGAAAAAAAAATATGTATATTAATTATGATATGAGCGGATGACTCCTTCTTGTTTCACCGTGCTACTGTAGAGGAAAGTGTGCAGATGAGGTATGTCCTGGATACCTATGCTAAGGCATCGGGTCAGTATATTAATTATGATAAATCTGCTGCCTGTTTTAGTGCTAATGTGCCGCAGAATATTCGGAATGATGTGGTGGATATACTAGGAGTGGAGGAGGGTTTGACTAGTGGAAGATATCTGGGGTTACCCTCGCTTGTGGATAGGAGGAAGAAGGCCATCCTGGGATTTCTGAAGGACCGGATACTGTCTAGGGTACGGTCGTGGAATGCGAAGTTTCTGTCTAGAGCTGGGAGGGAAGTCCTGTTGAAGAATGTGCTGCAGGCGATGCCGGCTTATGCTATGTCGGTGTTCTTGCTACCCATTGGCCTGTGTCGAGAGATGGAGGTCATTATGAATCAGTATTGGTGGACAGGGAGGATTGGGGATGGCCGTGGTATAAGGTGGCGCTCCTGGGAAGGGTTGTCAAGGCCCAAGGCGAATGGTGGAATGGGCTTTCGGCGCCTGCATGAGATGAATTTGGCCTTACTTGGCAAACAGGCATGGAGATTGGTTACGAACCCCACTAGTCTACTTGCTCGCGTGTTTAAGGTACGTTATTATCCTAGCTGTGAATACTTTGAAGCTGGGGAGGGGAGTAATCCTTCTTTTGTTTGGAGGGGCATGTTGGAGGTTAGAAGCTGTTTGAAGGAGGGGTGTAGAAGGGCAATTGGTGATGGGGGTGAGACTACTATTGGTGCGGATCCTTGGCTCCCGGTAGATGACAATCCATATGTGGAAACTGACCTGCATCCATCAGTCCGAGCGGCTCCGGTGTCCTCTCTTATGAATATGCATGGTACTGGGTGGGATGTTGAGTGTGTTAAAGATGTTTTTAATGCCCGCGATGCTAACTTGATTTTAAATATTCCTGTTAGTGATCGAAAGCCGCGAGATCAGTGGATATGGCAATGGGATCAGAAAGGGGGCTTACACTGTTAAGTCTTGTTACAAGCATCTCACTTTGGTGGCAGCAGATGACCGCCTATGGAACAAGATTTGGAACCTTCATATTCCCCCGAAGGTGAAGAATTTTTGTTGGCAGTTGGCTTCTATTTATCTCCCTACACGGGATATTCTGCAGTTAAGAAATGTTGAATGCAATT